ATTACTGTTCATGTGAACAGTAACCTATGGGCACTATTCCTGAGGGAACAATGCCCAGGGCAAAAAGAAAAAAAAAAAGTTTCCTGTTCAAGTGAACAGTACCCGCGGGTACTAGGGTAAAAAAAAAAAAAAAATTCACATTCCCAAAGCTAGATGAGCGAGCTTGGGAATGGGGGGCAACTGATAGGGAAAAATAAACCTAGTCTACCATAACCTAACGATAGAGACAACTAAGTGTTGACTAGCTGCTAGACCTCTTCGACTTTCGAACGATGATATTTTCATTTGATAAGAATGATAATATTTCATTTTCAAGGATAATGAAAGATGATGTGGTTCAACAGGGTAATTATAATCTTGGTACAATTTGAGGAAGTCAAAAGGGATAAATCATATCCCTGACAAATCTGACAACAAACGGATCTCCTCTGATCTCGCACAAGCGGATCTCCTTTGATCCCGCAAACGAACTGAGGGAGAGTGATTATAAGAATGAGATCCTACCAGTCAATAAAGGTACGACAAAAAACTATTATTAAATCCCTGCCTTTCTCTTATACCTCTGGTGACTGATTTGATCGTCGGAGAGCTCTTGGCAGGCACCACACCGGTGCCATCAAGATTCATCAATCTTCTATTCTCTTCTTTGCAGGAAAACGGTGTCGTATCGGACCGCGTGGATTTCACCCTCAACAATATGGAAAGTGTAGAATGTGTCCAACCCTGTTTAGAATCCTTCCTAATATGTTGTTCTTACCTTTTGCTTCAAATGATCTTCAATTATGGTAAGTTTGAACAACTTCCCAGTTTTGTAGTCGCTGTCAAACTTGATAACTTGCAGAACAAGAAATTTGAATTACAACTCGACTTGGACTTGTTTTATCTATAATAAATGCTAAAAATAAAATAATATCTCATAATCTCCCCCTTTGGCAATTTCGTAACGAAACCCTAAAAATAATTTTCGTAATCTACCCAATTCAAAAAAGTAAATTACATTTTTTGTTCAAAGGCGAAAACACGGTCTCTTTTCTTTTTAGATACACGACTTAACCTGATTTCTTGCACACTATCAAGCAACATCTACCAGTGAAGTTTAATAAAAAATTTATAAAAATTCCCCCTTAAGTATATATCCAGAAATATCATCTCTCCCCCTTAATATCTTACTGTGATCTCCCCCTTTTTTGTAACAAATTGTCAAAGCATAAGAGATAAATAAGAGAAATAAATAAATCCAATTCAAACTAGTTACTAAAGCAAATACTCAGAATATCCAAAAATAATGACAAAGTTATCAAACAACTAAACGAAACATGATGTCATGATGCATGAACAATTAAAATAAAAGTTAGCATCATTGTCTTCTCAACTACTTTGTCAGGAAAACATCATCATCTTTAGTCTTTACCACTTTCCTCCTCATCTTTCTCATCCTCCTCATCCTCATCCTCATCAGAATAGTCATCATCATCCTTAGCTCTCAAAGATGGATCTGGAGGTGCAGGCCTGTAGACATCCTCATCTGGAACCCTGACTATTGTCCTCTCATCTGAGTCATCTGTAGTTTGAGATCTCGAATCTCAACCATCATTATGTCAAACATAGCTGTCTGATGCTGTAGTAGATAAGAATATATGATGTTGGCATCCGCTCTTGTGAAATTTTCTTTTGGAAGAAATAACTGAGTAATTTCAGGATCTTGTCTCCTTGCCTTCCTAGCATTCTCCCTAGCAGTCTTTGACTTATTCAAGGCACGAGGATCCAATTCAGTCATAATAGGCTTATGGTAAGCCCGTAGAGGAATATGAACATTCTTTTTCTTTAAGATTTCCATGATAATCATTGGAAAAGGAGAATAATACTTCGAGTTTTTCTTGTAATGAGCTATCATAAGCTGCACAATCGAGTATGCAAGTAGAATAGTCTTACTATTAGCAAGAAAATAAAGAACCTGTGCTTGCTCAAGATTTATTTTATCTTTCTTTCTGAAGTAGCCCAGATTTGCCATAGCAAACAAGTTGAAGAAAGCCGTTTCATCTGTCAGAAAACGAGCTGGAATACTATCTTGATTCAAAGAAGAATTTGGAACACATATCTTTGGAACAGTCCGAAAAAATCAGAACCCTTGACTGTCAAAGGTAGAGTATGTCTAGTCAACTGACAACTGTCTTAAAGGCTTATGATAGCTTCAATATCCTTCTCGTCTACCACATAATCAACTCCAAACAGAGATATGATGAAGTAGAAGTCATGGACCTCACAGATATTTGCATAGAAATAGCTAATCATATCCGAACAGTAAAAGCTTTTGCCAAGCTTAGTGAAGAAAAGCCAATCATACAACTTGATGTAATTCACTAGCTTGCATCCAGCTGTGTCTTGAAGCTTCTAAAGGTTGACATTCCTCTTTGACTTGATTGGACCATCCTGGTAAATAGAGAGATACAATTTCTAAGCATCTTCATTGTAGAAGTGTGACTTGTCAAACTCAATCCTGCCAGTGCTAGAAACAGACGGATATCTCATTGAAACATCTCTTGAAACATATGAACCACCTTGAGGATTTGGATGGCTATGCTTGTTTGGGATTATTTGGGAGGTCTAGGTTGTTCAATTCCTTTGCCTTTAGCCTCCTTAGACAGTTTAGGAGCCATGTTCTTCACAATTTTTTTTTTTTTTTTTTTTTTTTTTTTTTTTTTTTTTTTTTTTTTTACTTTGAAGCTTTGAAACTCTTTCAGTAATTTTATTGAACACTTAGTGTGCAACCCCAAAGGTGTTATAGAGAAAAGCTTGATTCAATCTTCAATCCTCCACAAAAATCAACAACAAGGCAAGTATGTGATTACAACACAATGAAGCTTTAATCTCTTCAATAAACCCAGAAACTTAACCAATCCTCTAAGATTTTAATCTCAAGCTCCAAAACTTCCATTTAAACCAATTTTCCAATAATCAATCTCCACAAATTCAACTTTTGTCTTCAATCTCAGGATAATCATGTAATGATCAATTGTATTTCATGAATGAATGACAAAATATATATTATGTATAATGTATATATATATGAATGATTGATGGAGTGAAAAAGGGAGTAAGAGAGAGCAAAAGAGATGATAAGATTATGCAAAAATGAGGCGCACAGGAGGTTTAAAACCCGAAATCCTGAGCCCTTAAACCGGTTCAAAAAGGGCAATGTGTAATATGCACAAAGACTTGAACCAGTTTAGCCCTATTGAACTGGTTCAAGATGGGCAATCACTTTAGGCTTGGCTTATTGACTTGTTTGAACCAGTTCACTCCCATTGAATCGGTTTAAGACCCCCAAGTCTTGAATCGACTGTGTATTTTTTTTTTTTTTTTTTTTAAAAAAAATTTCAATTTTTTTTTACAGAAAATATTCTAACATATTGGTGATTAAAAACATCAATAAAAACAAACTAAAACCTAAAACTCAAAATCTTTTTGAATTTTCCAAAATTTTTAATTTTTTTTCTTATTTTTTTTAGAAATAAAACATAAATCACCAATCATTAAAATCATCCGATCAACACATGATTCAAAACCCTTTCATAGAATTTTAAAAATATCTCAGAGAACAAATATTTGACTCCACAGACTTTTTAAATAATTTCAAATCTCAGAAAGTAATCACAACATGAAATCAAACTTGCAAATTTTATTGAAAAATTTAAAAATTAATCTATCAAGTTCATGTGTGTGTGTGAAATCCAATCTTCAGTTGAATTTTTACAAATCATTATCTAAACTTTATTGATCGAAAAGTATCAAGATAAAATTGTTTTGAGTAATTTTTCTAAGTAAGGCGGCTTTCACTCTAAAGAGTAGTCAGCAATTCCCCAACTCAACTTATCACCACTTGTAGCTTCAATTCACAGTTTAATGGGAGGTTTCGATTAAATCTCAATAGGTAGCCTTTTCCTTAGCAAAGTGTTCAGTAACTTTCAAAATTTTCTTTCTTTTCAAGCTGAATATTTTTTCAATTTTTTTAAGTCACTATTTTTTTTAGACAATAACCTTTATAGCTTTTGTAAACAATACACCCTAATCAACAGATCAAAAGATTTTCAACCAAATTTGTTAAAGATGGACTAGTGCACAAAAGTTTATGAACTTAAGAGATTCAAATCTAAAAATCCCCTAATCAATGCAAATCATCTTTCATTGTATAGATTACAAACCAATAATCTATTTTTATCCAAATTATCATGTGTCTAAATTTGCATTCAAAAATAAATTATAAATTCTTCAAAAGAATTTTCACATGTATATCAAGAAGATTATGATCATAAACTTAAAACCCTAACCAAACCCTAACAAGTGATCCATTGGCAACAAAATTTTCTTTTAACCACAAGCCACGATCAGTGGAATTTTATAGGACTCAGTTTGAAGGTGAAGTCCTTTTGGAATCAAGTTCCAAGGACTCAATAGGCACAAAATTGATCAAATCAGTCTTTTTGATCCAAACAGTTTTTACTCTTACTTTCTGAAATTCTCTCTCATTCTTTATCTCTTTCTTAGGCAAATTTACAGCTTTAGAAAACTTAGGTGGCACAAAATTCTTTTTTTTTTTTAAATACCTTTTTATTTGCTTGAATATTATGAGAATGAATTTTCGTAGACTTTTTCTTTTTCCTTTGAAAACATGAGTGATACTTATGTCTAATCTTACTACAAAAAGTGCAATGCAACAGTTTAGGCATATAAGCCATATCAGAATGCAATGAATCAGACAAACATGGTTTAGGTATAGCAACAGGTTTAACAAAAATTATTTTACCTTAACCACTAGATGAACCTCTAATAAATCCTAACCTAGTCTTATCTTTTACATCCTTTCCCATGTTGATTATCTTATTCAAACTATTTTAACTCATATTGAACCCTTTTAGTTTATCTTGTTCAGATTTCAATTCAATTTCAAGATAATCATTTTTCAAAGCAAGACATTCCTTCAATGAGTTAGCAATACTTACCTTATCCTTAAGAATGATAATCTGCTTCTCAAGCTCAGTGATGACAGAATTGCTTTCAAAAGCTTTCCTTTTGCCTTTATCAATCTGTTTCTTTAGATCTTTATTATTACTTTCCTGTTTTACTTCCATGGTTTCTTTGACCATCTTTTTCAATATTTCATCGTTCTTTTTAGCCTCTTCCACTTGTTCATCATGAACTTCACTGTCTTCATTATCTAAAATGTCAGAGTCAGATAAAGTAACGACATAAGGACCTTTTTCAAGAAAAGCGACATAAGAAAAATTATTAGTATCATCCTGAGAAGAATCAATATCACTTAAAGTAGAATTTTCAGATATAGAAACTTTCATTGATTTTCCTTTATTCCTATCCTTTTGTTCATTTGTTTCTTTCATGTTATTACTATATATATATATGAGTATTAGTTCATTTGTTTCTTTCATGTTATTACTATATATATATATATATATATATATATGAGTATTTGTTGTGTATTTACATCATATGAGATTTATGATGCAGAGAGGGTGAGTTTGCAAACCTATCTAGTATTCATTGCTATTTTTATTGCTATTTTTATCTTGTTAAAGTATATTATAAACTAGTTATAATTGGTGTTTCAGGGTTTACATGTTTATTGAATGTTTAAATAAATAAAATGGAGAGAAATGAAAAACTAGAAGAAAACAGATGGAGAAGATTTCCTCTATTTTGTTATAATAATCTTTACATCCAGGAGACACTATTTATACAAGGAAGATATAGCTGTACATAGAAAGAAAATAACTTGCAATCTACACCAATTCAAATCAAATCAATTTACAAGAATCAAGGACTTAATTGGGCAAGTATCTTTGCTGACTTTGTGTCCAAGGAAATTGATTGCATAATTTTCAACACTCCCCCTCAAGTTGGAGTATGGATATCCAAAATGCCCAACTTGCACAAGTGTGTATGAAAAGTGACATTACCCAAAAGCTTCGTGAACATATCAGCAATTTGATGTGTAGAAGGAGTATATGTAGTAACAATTAGACCCAACTGATTATTTTTGCAAATAAGATGACAATCTATGTTAATATGTTAAATCCTTAAGAAGATATCTTAACCATGTCAACTCACATGTGATGGATGCCATGGATCTACACTATGCTTCAACTGAGGAGTGAGCTACAATTTTTTGTTTTTTTGTTTTCCTATGAGCGAATTCCCAAGGAATATATAATAACCTGTCATTAACCTACTTGTAGGACATCCTGCCCAGTTTGCATCATAATAATCTTTCAATTTTAACTCACTTTGAGATGACAATAATAATTATTGTCTTGGATTACCTTTCAAGTATCATAAAACACGAAGTGCAGCTTCAAGATGTGGTTTCCTTAGCTCATGCATGAACTAACTTAGAATGTTTACAGGGTAGGTAATATCGGGTCTAGTAATTGTAATGATTTTTCTCGTTTTACTTAGATTCATCCTATGCAGTTTAAATCAGAAACGCAAGGCTTGTTAAAATCTTTCCTTTTTTTTTTTCTTTTTTTTTTTTTTTTTTTTCTTATGTGCATACTCAATTTAACTGTCATGTTCAACAACTGCGTGCTGATAATGGAAGTGAATTTTTTGCAATGAAAAAAATATTTAACGATCTTGGTATTATTTTTCAACAGTCTTGTACTTCGACTCCACAACAAAATGGAGTTATTGAAAGAAAACATCACTATCTTTTACATGTAGGTCGTGCTCTCAGGTTTCAGGCACACATTCAATTACATTTTTTGGGGGGAAAGTCTTGTAACAGCCACCTATATAATTAATCGTTTGCCTACACCATTACTTTTTAAAAAATCACCCTTTGAGGTTTTGTTTAACACACCATCCATATACAACCACTTTTGTGTATTTGGTTGTATGTGTTATGCGACAAATCCTAAACCTTTACAAAAATTTGCTCCTCCCGCCCGAAAATGTATTTTTGTGGGTTATCCCTTTGGTTAAAAAGCTTATCAAGTTTGTAACTTAGAAACAAATCAATTTTCTCCAGTCGTGTTTCATGAAAATATTTTCCCTTTTTTTCAATGTCCTCAACATACCCAACTTGATTTGTCTGATTCCAACGTCATTCCCTTACCTTTGTTTGGCCCATACACCTATTTACCTTTTATCCAAAACCACTCAAATGACCTCAATCAACCTATATCACCTATAATCACACAACCTAGTCCCACAAACCTAATAGAAAGCCACATGTCTTCCTCACCTTCACGTGCTCATTCCTTCCTTTCCGAAACCCCTATAGTACTTCACAAGAGTACATGTATCAAAAAACCTTATGTTTGGCTTTTAGATTTTCATTGCTTACAAGCCACACTTGAAACACCTAGGTCGTCATCTACTTCGGTGCCAGGTATTCATTATCCTTTGTCCCATTTTATTTCTTATACTAATTTGTCCTCCTCTCATCGTTCTTCTATTAATAGTAGTTCTAGTTTTGTGAAACCTATAACTTATACATAGACTGAGCTTGAACCTAAATAGAGGGAGCCCTTGAACTTTGAGCTACTGCCACTTGAGCAACAAAATACTTGGACCCTTACACCATTGTCACCTGGCAAATGAGCCATGGGCAGCAAATGGGTTTACAAGATCAAATATCATTCAAATGGCTCTATTGAATGGTACAAGGCCCGCCTAGTTGCCAAGGGCTATACCTAGCGAGAAGGCTTGAATTATAGTGAAACCTTTGCCTCAGTTGCCAAACTTGTTACAATTCGTTGTTTGTTAGCCATTACTTCCATCCACAATTGGTCTTTGCATCAATTTGATGTTCAAAATGCATTCTTGTATGGTGATCTTGATGAAAAGGTCTATATAGCACCTCCTCCAGGTCTTAGTCGACAGGGCTTGGTATGTCGACTAAATAAATCTTTGTATGGTTTGAAGCAAGTGCCATGCAATTGGTTCTCTAAATTTTTTAATGCTTTTCAAGGTACAGGTTATCGACAATCTAAGTCAGATTACTCCTTATTTACTCGGGGTATATGGGCATTCTTTTAGTGTCATCTTAATTCATGTGGACGATATGGTAATCACAAGGAATGATGAGAATTTATATGGATGATATGGAAATCACAGGGAATGATGAGGCTGCCATAAGTGATCTCAAAAAATTTCTTCATTATCATTTTCGTATAAAAGATCTTGGCAATTTGAAGTATTTTCTTGGATTGGAAATAGTGCGCTCCAAACAAGGAATTGTCACCTCTCAGAGAAAATATACCCTTGATATTCTTGATGATGCAAGTTTTCTTGGCACTCGTCCGATTGATTTTCCTATGGAATAAAATCTGAAGCGTAACTATTTTCAAGGGAATTTGTTAAAAGATCCCTCACGTTATAGAAGGCTTGTTGGCCCCTAATATATCTTTACTTCTTTGCGTCTTTATCGCTTTCGCCTTGGACCCAATCCTCCTCCTAGTGTCAACCATTCCGTAACCACGGATTATAATTGACATCAACTCCTCCTAACGAACCATAAATAGAGTACAACGAATCCTAATATGGGCTTTAAGTTTTAAGTGACGCAATACGGAAGTCACATAACGTAAGACACTCCTAAGGACACTTGAATCTGGAGTGCTATGATACCAATTGTGATACCCCCAGATTTTCGAATGTGGGTTGGCAAAGCCCATGCTCGAATACCCGGGGATATCAAAAATAAATCGGTAATAAACGAACATAGAGTACAAAAGAATAAATAAGAATAAATAAAATACTGAAATGAAAACTAAAATGATAATCCAATATTTAGAAACCTTAGAATATAGTTCCATTAATTAATAATCTCTTCTGATACAACTAATCCTCTAAATAATACAACTCTGGAATCCATTCAATGTGGACCCTTAGAAAATCCAAACTGAATAAGTGATAGTTGTAAAACCCCTAAATTTAAAAGGATAATTATGGTATTTTATTAATTGTTTTTATTGCATTTTTAAATTGTTTAAGTGTGTATTATCATTAATTGTTGAATTGTTTGATTTTTTTGAATTAGTTGTGATTATTTGAATTACTTGAATTAATTGTTTTCTTTTTTAATTATTATTGCTTTAATTGAATTATTTTTTATTGGTTTAATTTTCTTTGAATGCGTTTATTGTAAATTAGGGTTTTATATTGTTTTAGGATTCATGTTGCAGCCGACTCTGTTTATAGGCTTTATTAATTTGTACTTGTAGTATAATAAGGATTAGGCTTTAGTTTTTAAAAGTCTATATATACACAACAATATACGTTGGTATAGGGTTACGAACAAACCCTATTGAGAGACAGAGAGGAACAAATCGTGAACCTTAGGATACACAGAGGGGTTCAAGGAGGAAGGAACAGAGTGATTTTGGGTTTAACCAAGAGTAGCAGAGGTGTGGAATGACAGTTTAGAAGGTGGTCGGAAAAACCTCAGAGACGGTGGTTTAGAGTTTCAAATCTGGAATTCAAGGCAAGTCTATGATCTTCTCTTTCCCTTTAATTCGTGTTCTGTGCATGCCTAGTTAGACTCTAGGGACTTAATAAAAGCTAAAACGAATGTAATCAAACATATTAACATGTCTTTGATGCAAATATAAACTCTGTTTAGTCTCGTGTATTAACTGTTGGATAACTTTTGATATTATGTTATTTGGTCCTACTGTGGTGTTTACGTTTTAAGTTTTGATAAAATTGAGATCATAAGTATGTGTGGATGATTTGTAGTTGATCTAGGTCTAAAATGAAACCCTAGAACAAGTTCTTTAAAACAGTATTTAAATTCATGAAATTAATCTGTTTTGGGTTGCTCAGATTGCTAACTATATCTCTGTAGTCATTGCTTCAAAACCTGTGTTCAACACATGTTATGGATGGATATCTGTGTTTAAGATGAACCTAGGACTAAGGTGGAACCTAGAACAAGGATTAAAAACATCACAGAGGGTCTAGGAAAACATCAGAGTTGAGGAATTAAGAGAAAGCAGAACTGGACAACGGCAACTAAGGGGAGAAGAACAGGCTCTTCCTACCCTTAGAGCCGGCTCCCAAGGAGGTGGAACCGGCTCTACCTTGC